TGTAGGGGCAATGCATTTGAGATCTACATCTATCTTTTGTTGAAACATGTCAAAGCTCACACGTTTCGTGACACCTTCACCTTTAGGCTGTCAGCCCGTTTTCGTATCAGCTCACGAATTGCTTCAACTGAGCGGTGTCGAAAACCGGTCTACTCTGTTATCCCATAGCAGTCCCTGAAGAAATGGCAACACGACAAAAACTATACTGTGAGCAAGCGATCAGCTGTCCCAGCACTGTTTGAGGGTATAAGTTTCAAATCTCTGCTCCTGCGTTCACAAGGCTACTTACATCTAAATCAACAAAAGCAAAAAGCATATGTATTGACGCAAAAAGCATACGCATATATATATATATTAATATTATATATATAACTCAGAAGGTGTATGCTAAATACTGCTCGAATGGAACATCATCAAGAATCAAGAAAATAGAATCATAGTTTTACCATGTGCTTACGCAATGGCTTCCGCAAGCTTCCGCGACTGCAGTTTTGGCTTCCGCTGGCAAGTTCGAGTTTACAAGTTTAGTTACCCTGTTTGTGAGAGGTTTTTGACGCTGCTCAACTAAGCCCAAGCCACTATTGCAGCATGGATGGGACAAAACCCTGCAATTCTGGCCGACTCTCCAGTATAAACAAGTAGACTACTGGATCCACTAGGGAGATCAAGCTACCGCAGTTCGGTGGTCTTTGGTATTGATGGTATTGAGCTACCTGGAAATGGATTTCCATCATATTAGGGTACGTCCAATTTGTCGCATACACGGCAAAAGGCCCAAAGAGGCCCAAAGCCCGCTCCCTCAGTCACTGGCACTTTGGAATTCTGCTTCTCTTCCTTTGCTGCTTGGTTTCTGGGTCTGGCCTTGCGGGTACGGAAGTAGATCAAGAGAGGTTGGTTTCAACATGGCTCAAGTTCCAAGTTCATTTTGGAGAGTGAGCTGGAATCCAGTATATCATGCTCTCCTGGTCGGTCAAAAGCCAAGATTGCAAGCCTCAGGATGAGCGGCAAGAAGAATGAATGTGCTTACAGCAGCACGGATTTGCAAACTTAATTTTCCACAAAATCTAGGAACCAAATCTCTAGGGGCTAGAAGCTACTAGGGGCTCCTGGCATCGCTGCTAGGAGCAAAGACGCTACTAGGGGCTCCTGGCCTTACTACTAGGAGCGATCGGACGCTACTAGGAACCAACTCATTAGTGTGAGAGCTTCTTCAAGGAAGCTCCCCCACGCCCTCAGGCGGGGGGAGCTTCCTTGAGGTATCCGGCGTCCTACCTAGAGGCTAACTTAGCCTAGTAAAGTAGCCTATTGATAGTGGCGCCTATATACTTAATTATACAAGGAGGAGTGGGCTTCAAAAAAGAGCCCTCTCTCAACCAAGGAGTGTCCAAAGATGCTGAGGCATTCACTTCCCGGTCTCCCTTTAGCGCTTTTAGCCTCCTCTTCTGGTTTCATTGGTGGAGACAGTTCCACTGGTTCCCACTTCTGCATGCCAGACTGAGCTGGCATTGGTCGTGGCTGTGCAGGTCGCAATTTTCGCATTGGTGGCTTCCAATAGAGATCGAAATCATCAACATCACTTTGACGGCTCTCTGTCGGGACCTTTGGCACCGCCTCCTCCGAACGCTTTGGTAGAACTTTAGCACGTGTAGAGGCTTGATATCTCTTCTCCAAACGTGCTTCCAGCTGCTCGATCGACAGCTTTCGCAAAGCACCATTCTTGTCGAACTCTGACACATCCAGCCGAGAAAGATCTTTCCGATCGAAAAAGCCAGTTCGCTTAAACTTCTGATCCATGTCTGGCTTAAAGCGTGAAGGTGCATCATCCTTGTCAGAAGCAAACGAGGACATTGTATCCATATCAATTTCTTCCAAGTCATCTTCATCCTCCTCAACAAAATCGTCGCCTCTCCCTTCCTTGTACGCAAGTTGCACAGATGGGTCAGGTGTTGCAAGTCTCGCAACGTTACGAGGCGCAAGGAAAGTCTGCCGAGGTATTGCGAGACCCGTGAGCGTCAGAAGCGCCAAACGACGCAAGCCTTTGGCGCGAGGAGCTCGGCTGGAACTGGACGCAGAGCTTCCGGGCCGGACATCTTCCATCGGCACTGCTCTCGCTTTGTGCGGTGGGACACCTCAATTTGATGCAGCAGTGGCACCCCCTCCCACGATTGGAATTGCAAAGGTACGAATTTGCATATGCGCCCACAAACAGCCTCATCTTCACAACTTATACTGCTTGTTGCGGTAGATTTGCAGGTTCCCTCGTAAATGGATTTGTTCGGGTCATTTTGCGTACATTGTAAATGATACGTATCTTTTGCGAAACTTGAGCCCACAAGTATGTAACCATCAATATTAAACCATTTATGAATGAAACTTTGTATATATTGTAATGCAAGGCAAGCAATGCAAGCGCAGAACCTCTTCAGTCTTTGTGTAGCAAATTTGAGTTTGAGAGTTTGGACGTAGAGGCAGTGCGCATTGGCATGCCACTAAAATGTCTTATGACTGTAGAATTGCATCATCTCTACCCCGATCTTTCCTCACAGTCTCCCAATGTTGTTTCAGCTGCTCGACCTCAGCCACGAGTGAGATTAAATTATATAGGTCCAAACCAAACTGGTCTTGGGCAAAAGCGGAAGCAGCGTTCAGGCCCATTGGCATGTCCAACCTCAGCATGCAGCATTGGATAAAAAATTGAAACCCTTTGACTTTGAGCAACTGCGAACTTCTTGTGCTCGCAAAGGACATGGTAAATCTCTCTCATGTCGGAATTGTCCATCGCTAGTAGGCCTACAAACCGCAGATTGAAGTTGAGACAGAGAGAGGCAGAGATCCGTGACTACGTATACACGGGAAGGCATACTGGGGGCATGGCAACATCTTGTCTGCCGTGAGAAATGTCAGATGTATGATGTATGTTCCAAATATTGGATAAAGGTGTTGGGTCATTCCACGTTTGAGATGCAGTCTGAGATGTCAGCTTTTGACGGGCATAGTGCTCCGCCTGTTTATCCCCCATCACTTTCACGTGCTCGGTTGTGTTTTGTTTGAAATCATGAACCAAATCCACAACAAATTGGGTCGCACACCAGCTTGCCAAGGAGTGCATCTTTTTGCTCTTTTTGCCTCATCTCCTGAACCTCGAGAGACAAGTCAGCGCCAATGCCCCAAACCCTTGATCTTCAAACAGGCATCAACATATAAGGGGCCGGTCCTTCTTCTCTGAAACACCAGCCACTTGGTTTTGCCGCCGTTCGGCGGCCTCTCAGTGCACAGAGCTAGTCTGGGCTTGAGCAAGCTAGGGGAACCTCTACTCCTTGTTCTTGTTCATAATTGTTACTGGTAGTATGGCCAGGAGCCCCTAGTAGCGTCCTTGTTCCTAGTAGTACGGCCAGGAGCCCCCAGTGGCGATGCCCTTTGCTCCTACTCTTCCAAGAATCACCCATGACATGTGCCAAGTAAAACAATTGCTCTGGGACGCTGGGTATCCCAGCATTCAACCGCTCTTGCAAACACTCTCGTGCCTCAAGCGCCAGTTGTCTTTTTTCTTCAGCACTTAAAGTTGAAGTGTCTCTTCCAAGCTCTCCTGGAGGGCCTTGAATAAGGGACTGGACGATAAGACTCAAACATACTCAACGGACTATACCAATACAAGGGCCTTGTAACGAGTCAAAGCAAAACCCTGGCCTTGGCCTCCCAAGGAACGGCCACTGCCGGCAGACTGCCAGTTGGCCTTGGGCTTGGGAGCTGCACGAGCTTCACGTGCCCTTCGTTCCTGGTGCTAATTGGTGCCAGAAACTGACCCCGACTCCACAGTTACAAGAGGAAACATAAATGTAACAAGTTAAATAGTGATCGTGCCCCTAGTTTTGGGATACCTGCCACGGTCAAAACTCCTTTTCTGGGGATGTTCATCCTATCCTTACAAAGGCCTCATTGAGAGATCCGCACGAAACCCGTTCAAGCCAAGTCTTTGGGCCATGGTACAGACTATGAGCACTACTTCATGAACCTTGGCACTCTGATTCTGCCAACCGCTTGTTTGACTCTGTTCGATTCAAAGTGCACGTTCCACAATTGCACAAAGCTTGGTCACCGCAGGCTCTAGTCCTCCTCTCTCTGCAGCTTTTGTGCGAGCTTCTGGTCATTGCCTTAAAATGACAGCTCAGCCTTTTGCTGAAGAATTCACCTCACCAAAGTTTTGTCATCGGTAGGCACCAAGGAAGGGGCTAGTATCTGGATGGCTGCCTTGCAACACACAGTCCCAGAGTATAGTAGAAGTGCCTTCAATGGCGGATGTGCCTGTGCCTTCAGCCTTTATGCAGCCGCAGCCCATTGTCAAGCACGGTCAAGCAGGCATCACGAAAGATGAAAGTTTTGGTGCTGACCTGTTCCAACTTTCAATACAACATTTTCTGATTCTCGCAAAGAGATCCGACCTTTGCCCATCCTATGGCACTGATGTCTCCTTCGTAAGCTGTCTTGGAGCAAGCTGTACAAGTCGATGAATAGTGTGTAGGGAACAAACCATTGCAGGGATGACTGCGAAGTTAACGCTTCTTGCATCTTATTGCTCTTCATTGCTCTTGAAAGATTTGAATCCGTGTGGAAGAGATGGACCTACGCACTGTTTCACAGCACAGAATGCCAAGACCCTGTGTGCGCCGAGGTGCTTCTTTGACACCGGTGCTAGTGTGAAACTGCAAGAATGCGACTGATGTGGTTCGTGCGTTTCGTTTGCTGTGACAGTGGTGAAAAGCCTGCCCTGACCTATCTGCATTTAAAGCTATTTTACTGTATGCTATTTTGAGACATCGAGCTTGACGAAAAAAGCCTCTCAGAACTGATCCATTTTAACTTGCTCAACTGAATCCACGTCCCAGGTCAAGACCTTGAGGATGAAGGAATCCTTTTCCTGTGGAAACACCATCTGAAAGCGCGGTGTCGCAGAAACGTTGCAGCACTGCACAAGGCAATCGTTCGATCCTTTATATGCTTCATCAACTCAGGTGCCTTGGGTTACTGAAACACATTGCGCTCATTGTGATCTTTCTTACACAAGGACTCTCTGAGTCGATTCTCTGCCAAGCTGCAAGTCCGCGGACTCCATCAACAGAGATGATCTTATCATGAACTCTAATCTGTCGATCGGGAGCAGCGTGTTCATTCCTGAAACACCACATTCGAAAAGAAAGCAACACTAGATTTTAAAAAGAGCCTGACGAAAGGGAAGAAACATGTCGTAAGCATTAGATAAATCATGATAAATCATGACAAAATCTTAGTCTTAGATTAATTGCCATCCAAGCTTCAACGCGGCAACCACTCCAGCGGCACTGATCTTCTCCACCGTTAGGCAGCAGGCCTTTTGCAAAACGACGCTGGTTGGTCAGAGCTACCTAGCTCTGAAAGTAGAGCATCTTTGATTGTTCGATCAAATGGAAAGGTTGGTCCAAGAAGGGATGGCAATGTCCAGTGGGAATGATGGTTTTTGGCCTTCTCAGTGACGGCCAGCTGGAGACCCAGCCTCAGAACGGAAGCAACATCTTAGTGCTTTCACATTGCTCTTAGACTCTTAGCCTGCTTATTTGGATCAAAGTTACGACTTTCCTTTCTTTTCGATGTGAAATTCTTTCTCCTGACATCTCACAAACGAGTAATTATATAAGATCCTGAGTGGAATCTGGCAGCGCTTGACCGCTCCTGGCAGCGATGAATCTCCAGCTGTAGCCTCGATTCAGCTGCCAGCATGGTCAGCAATTCCTTGGAATTGGGTGCGCTTGAAATACTAGCTATACAATCGAGGTCAAAAAATAGTTCAAAGATGTTCAAAGGTCACACATGGTGCAGTACTTGTCCGACTCGGGCACAACTATCGCAAGATATCAGAATGGCACTGCGGTAGTCTAAACAAAATGACAGTACGTAGAAGTTCACACCCAGGAGCATCTGCAGTTCCAGTCTGCCCATTTACTTTCCAAATTCGATCGCCCATTCGGATGGCCTCCCGAGAGGCTTTGGCCGGGTGTGACGAGACGTCAGGCAAACACTAGTGACGCTAAACTAAACACTATAGTGGCCAAATGACCAGTCCACCCAGCGCCTGGCCACTTGATGTGGACTGGTTGTACTCGGACGCAAGTCCACCCGGTTGTGTCTTGACGACCATGAGGTTCTGAGCAAGTCAAACTCAAAGCCGACACCAAATTTGGGGTCGCAACAGAAGCTGCTCCAAGTTAACTACTTTTGGCCTGGGCATCCATCTTGTCCAATTCCAGCCCAATGACAAGGGACGGTCTTTTTCGATGAAGTTCTACCACCTGGGAGGAATGGTTGTCGTCTTAGGGACAATCCTTCAACGCAAAAATGCACTCTTCAACTCCAAGGATGTCGCGAAAGCCCCTTCAGGCAAGGCCTCTGCTTTTGCATTCAAACTCCAGGAACGCACTAAGACGCAGCTTTCTGGGATGCAGACAACTGTTTCAACCTGGCAATTCGGAGAAGAACCCCAATCTTCCTCCAGTCAGCTTAGACATGCCAGTTCCGTGGCTGATCTAGCCGCACTGACCTCGGTCTCGGATTCCCGGAATTTGTCAACAACCTCAGAGAGGACAGACTTTCGAGTGAAACACTATCTCATTGTGCCTAGCTCAGCTTCGCACACTTTCTGCCTGCTCAGGTTCCCAGCAACAGCACCTCAAGGCGGGCACAGTGTAGCACAAAAGGCTGATCCTTTGTGTCACAGTGAGAGTGCGGCGTAAGCATGTGTTCTCGGAAACATCGTCAGGGCTCTAAATCCCGAGCCAGTACAGTGGCTGCAATATGCTATGATGAACCAAACAATGACAGACCACGGCCCCATGCACTCTTCAGACACGTTTAGAACTCCAAGCCTTTGCCAAGGGTGCGACACCTTGTGGTCTTCCGCGCTAGTGCTGGCCCGAAAACGATCTCACTAAGAAACCAGGGCCGAGTCTCCCACTGCATGGACTCCCAGTATCACTGGCCAGTGTACAGTGTCTCGACAAGGTCACGCGAAACTTCCACCTCAGGGTTTCTGCCTGAAGCAGGCATGGCAGTGCACACTGTGCACTTCACGAATTGACATCAATCCACTACCTCAGGGGGCCATGCCGTATATGCAGAAAATATTTTCCGGCGAAAGGCCGGAAGCTGTACTTTGCAAGTGGATGCTATACAACATGCGAGGGCTCAAGTGTGGCCTTAGTCTCTAGGAAAGCAGCTCTCGGCGAGCCAGGTCCAGGACTATGGCCTGATAAGCCACCAGCAGCAAGAGAACTACTTTTGCACCGTCTTCCAAGTGTGTCAAAGTTGACCATGTCTTTGCAGTAAGCTGGTACTTTGCGTGGAAGGCTTGGCGGCATTGTTTGCCTTGCTTTGCTTTTTCGTCTGGTGTTGGCGCTTCAGGGCCAAGCACAAAGAAGCTGTCAGGTTTGTTCCTCAGCTCATCTTGCAAGATGCTCCGCAGAATGAAGAATGGTGGTGACATATGCATCAAGAGCTTTGCCATTTCGTTGTCTGCAATCACATCTGCAGCCTCAGGAAAAAAGCCTGCCAGAAAAGCTGCCCAAACAAGGTGAACCACAATTGTCAGGAGGACAGCGGCTTGGAAGTCCAAGAAGAACCAGCCAATGATAAAGCTCACGGCGAAAAGGTAAAGGTACAAAAGACTGAAGTGCTTGTGGTACTTCATCTGATTCATCTCCGGTGCTGGCAACTTGAATAACTTCATTTTCCATGCAGCTCGCATCATGATAACGTGAATTTGGCCGAGTACCTGGGTGCTGAAGAGCATAGAGCCACCCTTTCCAAGCAAGAACGCATATTCACTGAATCCTTGCGGACGATCTCGTTCAATGAAAGGAGTCATTTCCACTGACATCCACCCAGTGACAAAAACTGACATCACAATCAGAGTGAACAGATTCATAAGGTAGCTGCCTGTACTAACTTTGTAAGCATTCTGAGTGTTCAGGGACCTCAACCAAAGGCAAAGGCCCAAAGTAAAATCCAAGCAAAATAGAACTTTGATTCCATTTCCAAAGCCAATGGCTTGGGATTTGAGGAATGCGGTGAACGTTTGGACCAAAAACGAGATCACTTGATCCCGACTATCTGGCAGAGCAGGTTCGCTCTGTTCACTGCCTGTATCGTTCTTGGTAGCTTCGCAAAGGGGGTGCGCAAATCCTTCAAGAATCTGCTTCTGATGTTTCTCACAAATGTCCAGGTCAAAGCCCCTGCAAACTGAAATGCGCGCAAAGTATTCGGATAATGTTTCATCATCGAGGCGATCAAAGCCATGCTCTGCAAAATAGTTTTGAGCTTTCTTTGCGTCTCCCCAATACAATACAACGCTCTTATGCAAGCGGGCTTGTCCTTCTTTGTTGCTTGCCCTGCCAGACAAAAGGATCAGGTTGTCGACGTAAGAGAAGCTTTTGTCAGAGGCCCTGTGAACAATGCTCACCACTATTCGTCCACGGGATGCATAATCACGGAGAACCTTGGCACTGGTCACATCTTCTCCCTGACCAGCTGAATGCTCGTCTGTGAACAGGACTGGCCTCTGGCCAATCAGACTGAGAGCCATATTTGCACGCTCCAATGTCCCTCCAGAAAGTTGGCCTTTCTGGTCCGTATGCAACATCTTGAAGCCCCTCACATCCTGAAGTTTCAATTCTTCCAGAATGTTTTCAACCAAGTTGTTCCGTTCAACGGGACTGAGCTCTGGTCGCTGCCACATAAGTGCAAAAAATAAGTTCTCTTCTACGGTCAACTGGCTCACAACACCAGCTTGGTCATCTTGTGGCATGTACCCGATATGGTTGTACATACCCTGTCTTCGCATCACGCGGTGCAGTTCTGCAGAGTAAGTTATGTTTTGGGCTGTCCCAACAGCAAATGCCGAGTAGAGCAAATCACTTGGCATTCGGGCGAATGCCAAACTTCCCTGAAAGCAGGAGTGTGGGTTGCCCTCACCGGCCAATAACTTGACGAAAGTTGTCTTGCCAGATGCAGATTCACCCTGAATGACAGTCACGGTGCCTGCTGTGATCTGACCTTTGGCTTTCAACAGCAAAGGTTCATCAGCACTGCAGAAATGTCGAAAACCATCCAGATCCACATCTATTTGGAAGCTGGGCTGGAGGACGAAAGTCGGAGAGAACGGGCGCGGCACGTTGCTGACACACTGTGTCGCATGAATGAGGAGCCACAACCCCACCATAGAAAACACCAAGCAACCTCCTGGTGCCCAATGTTTAGAATCGCCTCCACAGCATTTGCACACTGGCACAACTACGCAGTTACAGCAGACCACAAAAGTCACCAGAAGGATAGCTGTGATGCAAGCACATGAAGCAAGCACGATCAGAAACACCAAAGTTTCGTCAGCAACATCCGTCACTGAAGCAGATGCTAAGCTGTTCATGACATTGGCAAGTGCGGGAATCATCTGTCCGGGGCTGGCTAATCAATACTCTATGCTTGAGCACTCGGTACTTGCTCCAAAAACATCCAATCCTGAATTGGCACAAGAAAAATCATATCCACTCAACTTGACGTAGAAGTGGTTATGATAGCCGGCGGTTTGATAGGTTCTAGTTCTTGTAGCCTGCTTGGACATCATTCACCGATTTGCTCTGCATGTTTTGCGTGCCTGTGACACTGATGCAGATGCCTCGCGAATTACTTTGTTTCAGAAACAGTGGGGTGGGACGTTCTTTGTGATTGCAATGACGGTGCTGATACTTTTGAAGTCACAATGTTGTGTGATGTTTGTGTGCAAAGAGGGCGTGGTTGAGGATATTGATGTTTGTAGTGATTGCAAAGGCGCACAAATTCAACAACATGGAATAGCAAATTCAACAATGTAGATAACACAGGGCAAAATTCAAAGTGATACTGAAACAGCGGAGGAGACTTGCGTTTCAACAGGAACGATGTTTTAAAGAAGTTACGATTGGATGCCAAGCGAACACCGACCCCAAAACATCGAACAGCCGTATCACCAGTTTCAAGCGCCAGGACAATTAAAGTGAAGAAGTACACTAGCAAGATCTAGCAAGTAGCTCAGCAGTGAGGCGAAATTGAGAAGAATTCTCCGACCCCCGCCGATGGTGGGGGAGCGCGTCAGAGGACACCGGTCTGGGAGTCGGGTGTAAGGGCACAGAGAGGGACCTGATGAGGGTTCACATTGATCGAGCACCTTCGGGACTGGAAATAGATTGGTTAAGGGTGTGGCGGAGGAGGGCCGTTCAGAAGGCTGTTGCAGTGGACTTGCACTGGAGACATAGGCTCGAGAGAAGGACCTTGGACATAGGCGTTTTCCTAGCGTCAGAAAGCAACGTTTGGCACTGAGCAAGCAACTTCAGGAACATGTTCTGCGTGGAAATAGTCTTCAAGGAGTTAGACACAAACCCTTCTTGAAGGCGGCCAGACAGGCACCTTGTCATGGGAGGTTGCCCGTGTTACATTCAGGCCAATATTATATAGCTTCACCGCCAAACTAAGGACATCGCAGTCCAAACTCTGAAAAACGTGATAGGAGAGCGAGGTGTTGAGTGATGTAGTCTGATAGAGCGATACACTGCAACTCATTTACCTACTACTGTTTGTACGTTGGAACATGCCGTTCTTTAGATTCATTCGCTGGAACCTCCATTTGCGGTGATCGACTTGTCATTGCACGACGCTTTGCGGTCCCACGGTTCAAGCTAGAATTCCTCATGCAGAACCGGCCAACACAATGGGGTGAAAACAACAAAACCTATTGCATAAGTGAGTGAGTGAGTGCAGGACGACTGGACACAAATAAATAGGAACCCCACACAAAAATGTGAGGAACCTGAGATGGGATGAGATGAAAGCCAGGGCAAGGCAGCAGCAGCCGAAAATGTTTAGAACTACTTTGTTGCATTCTCTAGCTTTCCATCTCTCGATCTCACCATTCATTCCACTAGCCATCCATTGACCTGTCTGCACTACACATCCATCGTCATCCATCTATATCCACATCTGCTTATCCTGTCTTTACATCTAGCCACATCTACTTTGTTGATCTACTTAACAATCTCTCTGTCTCTCCATGGCTCTTTCTCCCTGTCTCTTCAGCTGGCCCCTCTGTCTCGCTATCTCTCTGACGCTCTCTCTCCCTCCATCCATCCATCCATCCATCCATCCGTCCGTCCGTCCGTCCGTCCGTCCGTCCGTCCGTCCGTCCGTCCCTCCGTCCCTCCGTCCCTCCGTCCGTCCGTCCGTCCCTCCGTCCATCCATCCATCCATCCATCCACGCGTATGCATATGTTCTGGGAACATCATCAGGGCTCCAAATCCCGAGCCGATAGAGTGGTTGCAATGAATCAAAGAATGACAGACCACCGGTCAGCAATCACATGCGAAAGACCATAGAAACCGCCAGTGCAGCTGTGCATCAAGCGCAACAACCCAACGTGCTTTTTGGCACAGCTCTCCCCTGCTGTGAGAACCTCCTGCAACGTTACACCCTACGTTGCTGACCCACAATGGTCTTGTGCAATCTTGCTGAATCGCAGTTCAGTGAGCACTGACCTCCCAGGAGATGAGTTCCCAGTTGTGATCAGGTGATCTATGCCCCAAACAAAGAAGTGCTTGCTTCAATGCCGAACGGTCTTTGCAGTCACGGCGAAACCTCCTTGACCACAACCTCATCACGGAATGCTGCAAATGCACTCAAAGAGGCCAAGAGCACCGAGCACACGAGAGTTTCATGTTGGGAAGAGATGATAAGTATTTGTAGTCTGTGGAAATATGTAGAAAGGATAGAGCCGCTCTGCACACTAGGCTGCAAACCTTGTTAAGGTCATGCTTGCTGCGGTCATACACCCAGCCTGATATGCGATCACACTTCCTCATCAGTTACAAGTGCTGCTTGATTCACCCTCATCGTGCCTCGCCCATCTGCCAAGCAAAGGTATGTCCTCGCAATTTCCAAGTGGGGTTGTATGAAAGCCTGGTCTGTCTTGTCAATACCCGCAAAGTGGTTGTCGGTGTTCTTATTTGTTGCTTTACTAGGCTGAATCAAATGCTTTTGAAATAGTCCTGGTTCATTCTACAAATTCTCTGGAAATCTTAGAAACACTCTTAACTCTTAACATACAATTATATATATATATATTAATAGACATTGTGTCTTCAGAGCTATGCACAAAAATGGTCTGCACTCAAACATTCTCAAACTACATTAGGGTGGATTTTGGTGCAAAATAGACACTATCGTTTTGTTGTCGTTCCAACGCCCAGCGTTCACCCAATGTTGATCAGTTTAGGTAATATGGGCCCCTCACAATGGCGTGCAAAAGTTCATGGCAATACCAAAGCCTAGGGTTGCAAGTTTTCTGTTTTTTCGTATCCTGTTTTGCTCACTTACCTACTTTGCAAACGTCTCCTAAAATAATTGTGCAATCCAGCATTATGTTCAGAACGGCACCAAAATCTGCGCAATTAAGAAGAACCGCCTGTATGCCACCTCTGAACAACGGCAAGATAGAAAGAGCAAGAATGGGCCATGAGTTGCGATACATCATGATACATCATGCCGCTAAAGGGTTTGAGAAATCGTGTTCGGTGAAATGCAATCAAAATTGTATAAGACTACATGACCTGGGAAGGGAGGAACGAAACCCGGAACAATTATATAAGGGGGGAGGGCACGGCGGTTGACAAAGGACCAATATCAATGGCTATGCATGCATGAGCAAAATGACTTGCTTTCTCTTCGTTTGCCAGAAGCGACCCGTAAGCATTCTTACGGGTCACTTCGCTTACCTTAGCATATGTGTGGGGGCCTTCACCCAGTGGTGAAACAAAATCGCCCGGAGTGATTGCAGCTCAACCCGACATCAACACTCGAATGATCTCGAATGCATGCCGTGAGACCATCACAGAACCAGAAGGTCAAGGATCAGTTGTATGGTTTCACCACATGGTAAGGTTCCCTTCCATCTTTTTTCGAGTTGTTCTTTCTATCAAGTTGTTCTCTCTATCCGCCTTCCTCATGCTTATGCCGCATATGTTGCAACACCAACCAAAAGAAACTATCATTTTCTTCACCACCAACATAAAAAGATATATAAGTTATTTATGTATATATAAATCAAATTATGTAATATATGTATATACATTAAGTTGGCCACCTAGAATCTCCTCGATAACTCAGTTTGTTTGCAGAAACTAACTTCACACTAGCCGACTGGCTGGCTTTCGTCAAGTATCACTAAAATGGAACCATGAAAGCTCAGTCCTGCCATCCTTCCCTTCAAGACGCTCTGAAACGGCAAAGGCTCCGTCCCGGCGCCTCAACTCCTTACCTAGCCGAACCAACTCCTAGTAGCGAACATGGCTCCTACTAGTAAGGCCAGAAGCCCCTAGTAGCGTCCTTGCTCCTAGTAGCGATGCCAGGAGCCCCTAGTAGCACATTGTTACTAGTAGCTTCAGCAGAGATGTCTCATCGAAACTCGGAGACATGATCCGGAGAAGCTCCAAGACAGGGTTGCGAATCACGAACCACGAATTACGAATCATAAAATAAATCGCGAATCGCTCGGCCGGGTAACGAATCGCAAATAACGAAATGAATCACGAATCATTTGTGATTGGTTACCCGACTTCCGGATCACTCAAGAGAAATTTGCCGAAGACAAGCACTGCACCGCAATTGAGACGCACGTATTTCCATGATTTTCCATGTATTTCCTGCCTGTGTCCTGCCCCTCTTGTAGGGAAGCGGAAGTAATGATCCGAATCCTCGATGCAAGTGGACTGACTTCAGGCTCACGTGTGGAAGGCAACTGACTCAGTGTTGTAATTAGGTGCAGCTCTTCTTGTCTCCAACAACTTCGTAGAGCCACCTGTGAAGGATGAAGAGAAGAATGCTCCAAGTTGGATCTTAACTGCTTGCACTGGCCTCTTTTCATCCTCAAGTGGCTGGGCCTGGGCACGTGCCATGAATGAAGCTTTAGCCAAAAGGATTCAAAAGGTCAAAAAGAAGAAAACACGGGTTAGGAGGTTAGGAAATATCGACGGACTAAGAACTTGTTAGGCCAATGACAAGACCGAGTTCAAAGTCCCCGACTTCTGTGTGCAGCTGCAGTGGTGCAACTGTCAGGTAACAGCCGGCACTGGGCATGTGTGACAGGGTTCGCTTTCAAAACATATGCAAAACACATCAGTAAACACATCAATGTACACATATGTTTCCAATGAAGATAGTGTGTGAAGCACCTTGCAAGCTCTCAGTTGCGTCAGTTGTATCACACTTGCTCCGCTTTGATGCCTGTACTCTCTGGGCCAACAAACGCAAGTCCAAACCAAAAGAACTTTGCGCTAGGCGATGCCTGACTCTCCTCCACATCACTCTCCTGCAGGACTCAGTTGCATCCACATCAACTTGACCCAACATCATAAGAATTCACTAGG